TAATAATAATGATAATTATAATAATCATAACAATAACTACAATGACAAAGTCCGTGTTAGTCTGGCCTCTACCTTGCAGAAAATACAGCCCACCAACTGAAGCTGAATTCTTTAAAGGCATTGTATTGCAATTGGTCATTGAGGCACTCAAGCCACCTCACCACGACAAGGTACGAACATTGAGGTGGAAAAAAGGGTCTGTAAAATTGACTCCATGCTGATTCGAGATGAGAAATCTGTGTTCGAAGCTTCTTCAGTTCCACTCCAAGGGAATTTACTCTAGCTGATCTTTCGGTAAGTTAGGAAGCGAGCTCTTCGGAGTCGTGACTGAGTTTGGCGCCAAAAGATAAATTTTTCGCGCCTTCGGGCTCAAAGTCTAGCGTGGCGGAGTTCACCAGATTTACGATAGTCATAAATCCCGCAGATTTAATAAGTTCGTCGGGGATTGTTTATTACGAAGAAGATAGACCAGCTATTAGACAGAACGTGAACACAACGTGAACGAGGTCGGGAATCCTGGCTAACCCCACTACTCCGAACGATGAGTTGGCCGGCTGAAGTTCCCGTGTCGCCACACTTTGGATTTCGTCGGGAAATATCTTAAATACATCGCATATGAAATATTTACGCAAAGGAACGTCACATACCTCTTTCAAAAGTAGATACCAATGCTTGCAAGGGTCAAGTGTGGCACTTGTAATCCTGCAAAGACTCTGCGTGGTTAAGTTAGCCGGTGGAAAGCCGCACGTCGAAAATCCGACTGCCTCTATGACTTCATTTCGAATGGTTTCGAAATCGAAAACATGATGCTTTTCGACATTTCGACATGAAAAATCTCGTCGAGGTTTAATATTATAATATTGGTAAGAATTTAACCAGGATACGAGGCCAAGTCGTGCGACCGCCACAGGTTTTGTACCAAAACAATAACATCGTGTACTACGATCGCAAAGCGTGAACACTGATCGATCCACCAAGTGACGCAATACTGGAAATTCGATACGGTTGTTATTCAGGTCGTACGGCACATGAAAATTGCGATATCTTTTGTTACTGTTTTATGGCAAACCAAGCGAAAGAATCATACCTAAATAATCGAAAGAGAGGCTTTTCGAATACGGCGCCTCGCCGGTATTGCCTCTTCTGTGAAAAGGAAGGATCTTTGAAAGACTACGTGATTAAAAATGTCGTTATAAGGAAACAGGCAGAAACAGAGAAAACGCAGTATTTTATGACCATTACGCGCACAACAAACTTCATTTCATTTCATGATTTTGATTTTCATCGCCAACAGATGACCCCGCGTTAACTCGCACGCAATCGCGTATCTCTCGTGGATTCGTGGACGCTAATCTGTATAATTACATTGTGGTGTAATTAATGTGATGACATCCACCCAACGCCTTCTTCCCCAAACCTCGGCATCAGTTTACGATGCCTGCTGAGAATTTTTTTCTTGAGCAAAGCTCGTCATGGTACGCAGATGCAGCGAGTCACATTCACCCTTATATGGGGGACTGGGAAGAAGTTATGTTCCGGTTCAGTGATGTAAATACCATCCGGGTTATTTACAACAGGAAGGCGGGCGCTCCAAATAGGGACAAGACAGAGTTCGACAAGTTCTTGATGGGCACAACTTACAATACCCACAAGAATATCTATGGGTTTTACAAGTACAGCCCGGCAGACCACAATAAGAGGAATCCCTCTTCCGGTTTTGTCACAATATCCAAGCTGCACTTCTATTCAAACAGTGGGGTATCTGAACTCCATGCTGGCAGCGACAAGTGGATTAACATGTGGAATAATGTTGACGGCTCATCGCATAAGTACGTCACTTCCGACGACGGCCGCGCTCGTGGTACCAAGTGTATCGCAGGCTACTGTTATCTGAACAAACCAATCTGGGTGATGGTGCGATAGAAACAAACTGTAGTTGAAAACTAAGAGAAGACGCTGTCAAGTTTCTGTAAGGTGTTGGGATCTAAAAGAGAAACAGTGTTTGGACAGCAAAATTTTGTTGCAGTTGTATCAAGGGCTGAGAAAAACAATATCGGATAATGTAAGCTTGGTGATTGGATAAGGAGAATAAATACAGTTGAGACATTTCCCTGTGTTTACAAAAAATAAATTTTTTTCGTTTTAAATCACATACCGGTCAAGTCATGTGCCTTCTGGTTTAATCAACTCAGGAAAAGCGTACTACTTCTAGAAATTCTTTTGTTTTTTTTTTCAATTTGGTTGAATCAAACCCGACTTCAACTTTAATGAACCCAAATCATGGTCCTACAGGAGGATGCCTTCAAAACGTTGTTTTTTTATTTTTTCGGTATTGCAAATCGGTTGATAACGTGTTTACAAAATATGTAACAGCCGTATGAAAATTGATGTCTTACATTTCCGTAAGCACTCATCTTCTCAAAATACAACTAATCACGTTGAGAAGGAAAGTTCTCAAGCCATTTCTTAGGGTTTAGTCTTAAACGTTTATCCGTTTAAAGTTCGAAAAACGCCAAAGACATATTTGGCTGGCGACTCATTCATTCCATGACATGATTGGCATGAGGGGCAATTCTGTGACACCCTGAAGAATACCCCAATGCTGTGATCTGATTGATGCGAGATACATGCTCTAATGCATGATCTGATTGGTGCGAGCAACATACCACTCTATACGCTGACATCGAATTATTAAAGGAAATAAAAACACAAACTGAACAAACAATTAAGGAACCAGGTGGCGAGAAACCTATGAATCCAGAAGATCATATGATTGCTGCCACAACTAATTATGGGTAAGTTAATTCGAAACATCGTTTAAAGCAACGGTAGGGGAGATCTGGGTCGAGTTGTGATAGGCCGCTGCAAGGAGAATCGATGGAAGAGAGTAACAAAAGATAAGTGATCTTTTTCAGGATTTTTGTTCATTTGTCACGCAACGATGATTCATTTTCTTTTTCTCGAAGCATTGACGCCGGTTGATCGATTCGAACTAGCGTGACCTGTACGTCACGCTATGCTTATTACAAACTGTCGCCTAGCGTCAATACGGCATTGAGGACGTAAGCACTGTAAATATAAGTTATGCAAACATCTAAGCCGCTCTCATGCGGTTTTTTTGGTTCTGATCTATGCAAATTTTCAACTGACACTGCCTTCAAAATTCTCACGTCTTGAAACTCTGTTTATAATTCTAAAGAAACTTTCAGGGAAAGAAGAGGAGGCCAAGATGTTCCGATTTTTTTCCTGCGCTAAGCTTTTTTTTTTTTTTTTTATCCTGGCTAATCTTGCAGCATCAAAAAACCAATCGGCGAGTAAGCATTTGTTGACAATGTATACTTAAGGCATATCGTCTCTGTGGATGAATATATGTGAGTGCTCTGCACAGTTTGTTACAGATCTTCTTCTTTTTTCGGAGTTTGACAAATGGAACACAGCAAAACCAGAGTGGAAAGTCTATTTCGAAGGACGCTTGTAACTGGCGCGACGGTAAGAATATATCAAAACTTTCTGAGTTTCATATTGTGCGTAAGAAAAATATTATTTCTTTTATTTCACATTTCTCCTATAAATTACCTACCTTTTCCCTCCCTTTTTTCCAGGTAGGAAAAGAACATGAGGTACAATCTTAGAAATACGTCGGTCTCTGTCCCTAGAATCCACACTGAAAGGTTTAAGAACGTTTTTAGTAATAGGATAATTTTTAAATATGACATGTAATAGTTTCCCTTGTGAGTTTGTGTTGTAACTTAGGATATGTGACCTTAAGAAATAAAGATTATGTTATGTTATGTTATGTTATGTTAGATAGAGACGGTAGAGATGGTCAACACAGTATGGAATAACCAAGAAAAGTCTTGGATACTTAAGTCGACCTTCTAAGTTTTGCTTTTCGAAACCGGTTGAATCACTTTAACATCTACAACTGGTTGAGAACGTTTTGCTAGCAATGCATTCTCAAGAACAGAGTGAGCTCCAGACGACTGGAGGAGATGGTTGACTAGGTTAGAATCTCTCTCGAGAACATCTCCTGTTACATGAAAACCACTCATAACAAATATTTTCTTGCCTTTGATTGAAGAAAAAAGATGGCCGTGATGGAAGTGACGGGAAAATGGGAGCAAAGGTTGTTATAAAGAAATGGGCAAAGAAACGAAGCACAAAACACCACAACCGAAAATGGAGAAAAAGAAAAAAAGGGAAATTCCCGTTCCAAATTTTTTCAATAATTGAAGATACTCTTGCCTTCATTTTGTATGATTTTCCACAGTACAAAAGTGCCAATATATGAATGGAATTTTAGTATGCGGTGTATTTAAAAGATAAATGTTTTATTTCATTTAAGGGTGAGAAAGGTGAACAAGGTCTCTTTAAAGTAAGCGAAGGAACAAATGCTGTCAAGGTATGTGACTCACTTGATTTTTAAATCCAAAACTAGCAATGTTTTTATATCATAGATTAGTTTTGATCAGTTCAGTCACAGGTTTTAACTCTGCAAAGGTTTCTTATCTTCAGGGAAATAAAGGAGAACGAGGACCAAAGGGAAAGGGCGGAATGAACGGCTTAAAGGTTGGTGTTTAAATTTCAATTTCCAGTGGGTATGGATAAATAATGTAACTTATTCGTAGAAGCAGCAACATGTATGGTTACGACTCACTATTTATTTTTAATACGAAGGGAGTCAGAGGGGAGCAAGGCTTTCATGGGAAAGATGGAATAAATCGAACAAAGGTCAGTCGTTTATGTTTCCTTGGTAAGCTCAGTTTGAGTTCATAACCTTTTCCAGAAAATCGAACTTAACTTATTTGCCAGACAACTAAACAACAAGAAAGAAAAAAGGGACGATAGAAGAAAAAACAGTTCCCTAATTAAAGGATATCATGGAGTCTTTCCTGAAATCTTAACTGAAAAATGGCAAAAAATAATAAATAAAGGTTTGGCAAGGGGTTGGCAGTACATAAGAGTTCTGTGACTGTTGTTCAATTATCGTCCAAATCGATTTCTACGGTCTATTACGTTTTTCCAATCTCAAAATAAACATTTTGAATTTTTATTTCAGGGGCCGGGAAAAGACGAAACCGTTCCGGCAGGTAAATCGCCTCAAGATGCTATCAAGTTTGGCGACACCGCTGAGAAATGTACTCAGCGAATTTCTGGCACCGTTAGTTACAATACTTCCCAAAGTGCCTCGCAACTCTGCGATGGAAGTGCTTGGGTGCAACTAGTGACTGGAGGGAAAGGTCACTTGGCCAGTACACCTGGATATTCTAAAATCAGGCGAGATTATGTTTCGTAGAGGTTTGAAGCCTTGATTAAGTTTAGGATCCCAAATCATCTTAACGTTTTGTTTTAGGTGGCAGTCGTGGTAGCGGACTTTACTGGATCGACTCAAACGAGTGTCTGGACTGGAATTCTGGTTGGAAGCAGAATAGACCATTGACTTAAGGACTATTTTGGGAATAGGACAAGAAAAACAAATGGCTAGAAAAATTATTCTCTGAGTAATTCAGGGGGAAATTTTGGAAATCTGTTTTAACCATGACAAAAAATCAATAAACTTCTTCCTTGATAAGTTTGTTCAGTATTATGTCACCTTTTCACCCTCTAATCTGATCTCGCTCCCAGATCCTACCGTGTAACTATCTGCAACTGAAATGTGACAACCTACAACCAATTGGTCATGGAAGGTATGGGTACGAGACTTCCCCTGATCCTCTCTGTTTCCTCCTTTCCTCCCCAATGTCTCCCAAACAAACCATCGTTGTAGAATGAGCCTTTTTGAAGCCGACAGGCAGTTAAAAAAATTTAAAAAATACTTCACGTTTCACGGTTAACTTCACGTGGTCATCGATCTATGTTAATAGTTTATGTGTCAGACAAATTTGACGATATGCATCCGAAGAAATTAATAATAATAATAATAATAATAATAATAATAATAACTTTTAAAAGTGATAATTTAATATTTATATTGCGCAAATTAACATGCGGATATGATCAAATGCGCATCACAATACTTTTTGGGGGACTTTAACCGGACTGCATCGGCAGTTTACAAACAATCGAAGGAAACTTATTTGAAGATGCCCCCTCCCCCCAATTCCCAGTTAACAGGCCAGACCACATCACAGTAATCTCGTGAGTGGGCTCTTCCCCTACCTAACCAAATTAACTAATTACTAGATCCAGGAGACAGGACCTACAGTTTATTCGTCCTTATCCGAGAAGACTAGAATGTGTATCCATTTCTTGATATTATAGAAAGGTAGCGCATTCTCCTCAGATATTTTAAGACCTTGAGTGTTGGTCCGGCCGGGGCTCGAACCATCAACCTCGACCTCCCGCACAACAGTCCAGCGGTCTAACCAATTGAGCTAATTAGGAGGCGGTTACTGGAGGCGGTTAAAGAACGAGGTTACGTCATCACAGGCCTGTAAGACTTACTTTACCGGAGCAAGTCACATTTTGGGGCCAAGATGGACAAGAAAGAAACAGAAAGACTAGAGACGGTTCCCCTTCGCATTAAAAGATGAGTGCTGAACGATTCAAGATTTATTTGACAAGTTAATTTATTCAAATTCGACAGACACCGTGTAAATATTTTTAAACACGAATTACATAAGAATTTTATGCCCTCGTTATCTCTTCGTTGGATTCGTTTGTCGAGAATCGCCCAAAAAATTAATTTAATTTTCGAGAATGTGCAGCCACGAAAGAAAAGAAGGAGGAAAACAGAAATTAATCAAAAGATTAAATACATAAATGATCTTTGTCCAAGGAAAGCCCCCAAAGCAGCAAATTATAATAACTAATTAATTGTCTAGGCGGTAGGTTTTGCCGATTTTTCTCGTTCATGTTAAGAATAAACAATCCTTTTTGCATTCAAAGTGTTCATTCAATTTCATTTTCTTTAATGATTTTGAAACTTTTTTGAGAAGAAGAGGCAACTAAACATGTTCAGGCGCTTACCTTTTGCATTAATTTTCGTTTTTGCTTTGAATTATAGTGCAAACGCCTTGGCCAAGTCGGTAAGGCTTTTTTAAGGTTAATCGACATGACTGAAGCATATTCCGTTTTGTGGATTGAGAGAATTTTCAACCCGACTACCATTCAGGCACCGGACGAAATTTGTTGTTTCGTTTAATTTTACGGCGAGGACTTCCAGTTCTTGATCGATATGGTAATGGTAAATTCTGATGTTGATCGATGTTTTTTTTTTCAGGGCTCTGCGAATGGAACACCACAAAACAAGTGTGGAAAAACGGATCCAAAGGAATGCTGCTATTGTCACGACGGTATGAAGAATAGTCGAAAGGGAGAGAATACAAACTGTAGTTTATATTCTCTCAGTTGTCGGAAGGAATTGAAAGTTTTTCACACAACGAATTTTTTCCCGCGGCTTACACATTTTACACGCTTGCTAGATGTTTTAAAGTTGGCTAAAAAAATTTTTCCTTCATCTTTTAGGCAAAGACGGTCGGGATTGTCAAAATGGTATAAGAAAATTTATCACTTACGATTTATAATTTCCAGCTGAATGAATCTTTCAATTGTAGAACTCTCTGATATGCTTCATGGTGCTAAGTAATTAATCAAAGTCAGCACTTACAGTTATCAATTTCCATAGACTCATTTTTTGTCCAAAAAATTTACTTATCAAAGACTTGGTACTCGCAAATGTCTTTTCCTCTTACTTTACCAAGGTATCCAAGGTCCCCAAGGCGTCCAAGGTTTTCAAGGTCCGCAAGGCGTCCAAGGTTTTCAAGGTCCGCAAGGCGTCCGAGGCAAAGATGGTTGTAACGGTCGAGACGGAAGAAACGGAGCAAAGGTTGGTGAAAAATCCGGTTCTATGGATTCAGAAAAGGTGAAAAAATAGAGAAAAGAATGACACAAGTTGAATAAGTTGGTGAAATTATAAAGCAAGGGTCTGTTCTAATTTATGATAGCTATCAAATCGATCTTAGCTTAACGTAGTTGCTTCAGTGAAAAATGAGATCCATGGCCGATAGATCATCGAGGTCGATCTCTGCGATGTACTTCTTCATCTCAGTATGAAATAAACACTTTTAATTATTCTTTTTCAGGGTCAAAAAGGCGACACCGGTCCGCCAGGTAAATCACCTCAAGGTGCTATTAAGTTTGGCGATACCGCTGAGAAATGTACTCAGCGAACTGCTGGCACCGTTCGTTACAATGCTTCTCAAAGTGCCTTGCAACTCTGCGATGGAAGCAAGTGGTTACTACTGATGACTGGTGGAAAAGGTCACGTGGCGAGTAGACCTGGCCGTCACTGTATGGATATCCTTAAATCAGGTGAAATTATGATTCATAGATATTCGAAAGCTGAATGGGCTCTAAGACGATCTCAAATGATCTCAACGGTCTTTTTAAGGTGGTAGTCGTGGTAGCGGACTTTACTGGATCGATCCAAACGGAGGTTCAACAGATGACTCATTCCAGGCTTTTTGCGACATGGAGACCGAGGGTGGAGGTTGGACGCTAGTTGCCACGAAAGTTTCTCCAACCTTTCTCTTTATCAAAACCACATTCTCAACCTCAGCAGCAAAAACCGCAGACGCAGATGCAGCGAGTCACATTCACCCTGATATGGGGGACTGGGAAGAGGTTATGTTCCGGTTCAGTGATATCAGTACCATCAGGGTTATTTATAACAGGAAGGCGGGCGCTCCAAATAACGACAAAACAGAGTTCGACAAGTTCTTGATGGGAAGAACTTACCATAAGGCGAGGAACATCAACGGGTTTTACAAGTACAGCCCAAAAGACCACAATAAGAGAAATCCCTCTTCCAGTTTTGTGACTATAGTAAGGCTGCACTTCGCTTCAAAATACGGAATATCTGAAGCCCATGAAGGCACAGACAAGTGGATTGACATATGGAGTCTAGTTGACCGCTTATCAAACAAGTATGTCACTTCCGACGACAGCCGCGCTCTTGGTACCAAGTGTATCGCAGGCTACTGTTATCTGAACAAACCAATCTGGGTCATGGTGCGATAAAATCAAACTATAGTTGAAAACTAAGAGAAGGCGTTGTCAAGTTTCTGCATGGCGTTGGGATAAAAGAGAAACTATATAGAGACAGCAAAGCTTTGTTGTAGTTGTATCAAGTGTTAAGAAAAACGGTATTGGATAATGTAAGCTTGGTGATTGGATAAGGAGAATAAATACTGTTGAAACAGTTTACAAAATATAAGCTTTATTCGTTTTAAATCACATACCGGGCTATTTGTGTGCCATCTGGTTTAATCAAATCAGAAAAAGCGCAGTTCTTTAAGGCATTCTTTTGATTTTTCTCAATTTGGTTGAATCAAACCCGACTTTAACTTTAATGTACCCAAATCATGGTCCTATAAGAGGATGCCCCCAAAACGTTCCCTTTTTGTATTGCAAATCGGTTGATAAAGTGTTTACAAAATATTATGTCACAGTCGTATGAAACTTGCGAGTGTCCTACATTTCCGTAAGCATCCATCTTCTCAGCACACAGCAGTTTTAACGTTACTGAAGAGATATTTTACTTGGAAATCATTAATAATATGGAATTACTGGCATGAGGGAAAATCCCCTAGCGCTCTGTTTGGTGGAAGAATATCCCAATGCTCTTATCGAATTGGTGCAAAATAAAAACCTTAATGCAGCAATCTGATTGGTGCGATAGATATACTCTAATGAGTGATCTGATCGGTGCGAGCAACATACCACTATGCGGTGATATAAAGTTAATCAAAAAAATAATGAGGAAGATGGCGAGAGATCTCTGAATCAAGTAGATCATATGACTGCAGCCCAAACAAATAAAAGCAAATGTATTCAAAATGGTGGCCAAGGCGATGTTTATTTGCAAGAAACACGATGGGAACCGACTCGAAGAAAGTCTCTTGAGCTAAAAAAAGCTGCTGCTCGGGGAATCTTTGAAAGGCAGCCGTAGGAGATAGGTGGCTTTTTTTTCAGCGGAAATTTTGTTCACTCGACAAGTCTCAGAAAGGCTGGGATTCTGTGATGAACTCATCTAAAGCCGCCACCCTCCAATTAAAAAAAGATGAGGCAATAATAAGAGTTCAAGAGCGAAAGGCACCAGTAAGTAGCAATTTGTGCAAAGTGGTGCAAAGCGTTTCTGTGCTACCGCTAACAATGACTCGTTATTTCTAAAAGCACTGATGCCGGCAGTTTGATTCTAAATGAACCAACGTGATCTGTACGCCTCTATGTGTTTATCCGTCACAAACTGTCGCCTAGCATCAATCATTGTATATTTCTTCAGTACTGCACCGAGGAGATAAGCCAGGGGCGTAGCCAGGACTTTTCAAAGGGGGGGGGGGGGAGGCTACTCACCATTTACGCCGCTACTCTCCCGCGTGTATCAGCGGGCTCAGTCGTATTATCGCGGCACGAAGGCCCATATCAATGGCTTTTACGGCCAAGATATTGTCATGGCATTTTCGCCACCTGAATATTGTAGGTTGATTGCTCTAACGAAGACCTACCAAGGGGGGGTAACGGGCACCCAAGGACCCCCCCTGGCTACGCCCTTGTAAGCATTGTAAATAATTATACAAACATCAGTGTGTATCTTGTGCTTTTGTTGGTTTGACTTTTTTCTCATTGGCTATGTTGTAGTGATATGACCAAATTCGCTTTGAGAGGTTTCATCAGTCAAACACGCTGTCCAAATGAAAAGGTTTGGTTAGTGGACCTATAGAGTCACGAAAGTACAAACGACAGATTTGTTCGCTTTGAAAATTATTAAAAAAGTGTTTATTTCAGAGTTAATTTTCAGCGTTTCGCTGGAGGCTCTAAAAACTTACGCAGTTGTTTAAATAGTATAAATCGGACATGTGGTATCATTTTACATCTCTTCTGTAGATTGGTAGCAAAATATGTAAATTTTGACCAAACAATGAAGAATTACGCTGTTTTGAAAATACCACACAAACAGCACTTTCCAAGTTTGAGCTAGTGTACTGTTGTTCCAAGACGCTTTTCTCAAAAGTATAACGGGATCTGGAGTCCTCACCACTGTCCATGTTTAGTACTAGGGCTGGTGTGCCGAAAACAACAAAAACATTTTTGGCAACGTCTGTTCGAGCTACAGGAGCTCGATGGACTTTACTAATTTTCAATGTTCAAAGTGCATATGACTTAATTTATGCATATTTGTGGTTACTCCATTTCACGCTCAAAATCAATGTTTGAGGCAGTGCTTATTCTCAAAACTAGCACGGTTGTTTTGTTGAGGTGAAGATGTCCATAAATTCATCCAAACGTGCCCTAAATTTAGCAATTACGAAGGTAGAAATGAACATCTTCCTTGTGACATTATGTTTAACTGTCTCATGCGGGCTAAAACATGTTGACATAATTCTATTAAGTTAGTCTTGACAGTCTTGACCGCTGTCTTATGCTGTAAAAAACTAAAATTGCTGTCAGTTACAGATTTAGAAACGTTCATTCAAAATATGTAGAACCTCATGTCTTATCTGGGCTTGAGAACATATCCACAAGAATGGGTTGATTCAGTCATGTGTCACGCTCTTTACATTGAATCGATATCACGCAGGTATTTTCGAGTTGTCGAAAGAAATGGTTAGTGTCAGGAGTATTACTTCTTTTTATTTCAATTAACACTAAAAATTTATCTTATCGCGTAACAGAAAATGTAGTTTTAAGGAAAACATATCAGCAGTGCCGATTTCAGGCAGAAGCTCGTCGGAATGTCCTTGTTTTTAGGTGATACAGCTAAGTATAGGTATATGGTATTTCGAGGACTGGACTGGACTGGACTGAACTAGTAAAACGCGGACTAGTAAAACGCGGACTAGTAAAACGAGCACTAGTAAAACGCGGACAAGTAAAACGAGCACTAGTAAAACGCGGACTAGTAAAACACCGAATTGTTTACTCTAGGGATTAAACTCTGTCAACACAAGCATTTTCTAATGCGACCCAATTTTTGCGGTTTCCTTAAAGTTTCTAAAAATCATCAAAGACGCCGGTGTGCCTGGGTGGGGCTGACCGATTTTGCCAAATTTTTTTGAAACGAAAGGACCCGCGTCCGTTGCGGACAAAGTTGTCATTTGTGCGTGCGTGTGAAAAAAGATAAAACCAAAAAGAGCGGGAAATTTCTCCATTTCTCAATTTCTCCATCTCTCCATCAGCAAAACAAAAGCAAACCTTTGATTTTTTTGTTGTTGTTAAATAGCTGAAAACAAAAAGACTATAATCGCCATGCAAAGTGTTCTGTTTCGCCGCATGGTTAGTTCGGGGGAATGTTTATTTTTGCCGGATGTGAGATTGACTGCGTGATTGACGTTTCCATTTTAACCCGGTTGAAATGCGATCCTAATTAATGTTGTCAATTTCATTTTTGTTTTCCCGTTAAAAAAATTTGGTTTTAGGTTTTTCGAAATCCGGTGAAATTAAAACTTGACTGTAATGCGACCCCCCTAAGTAAAATTGTCTTGACTCAGTTGCATTAGAAAACGAAAATTGTCGGCTCGCGTCTCCTTAAATGATTGCCAAAGGAGCCCGAATGAATCAGGGCTACAATTACGAGTTTAATTACGGGAAAATCCTCCTTGAACTTAACAATTTGATAGCGAGTGAGTTATAAAGAAAACAAACGTTATTCAAATTAAAGAGAAAGCTTTCGCCGAAACACTTTTATTTCTAAAGGTAATTAAAAGGCTTCCGAGCAAATTTTGAAACATTTTTTGATAAGTAACTGTCACGATATGACACCTGTCAATAAAAGAAACAGCAGTACTGGTGTGACAAACACACACTAGTTAACTGATCATGCGACAATTTTCTCGTAACAAGAAAAACAGTTAGAGATCTTATGGAAAGTAATTTTTATTTCCAACGACGATTAATCTTCGAAGATTTACCTCTGTTCCGTTTT